TAAGATGTAACACTTCTAATTTTCTTGGCACTCACACTGATTTAGGTTACATATTTGAACTGATGTGCTTTAAATCAGCAATTTCTCTAGTTTGATTTGAAGTGAAAAAAATATATATATGCTATTCTCAGACATACATGCTAAAAAGTCTAGCAGTAGATAATTTAATAATAAATTTGATTTGTTTCTAAATCGTCTGAAGCCTCCCTCTATTTCTAACTAACACACGTATACAGTGTTATGTGCTTGGAATGTTTTGGTGTAAAGTAATAGGTTCAATGAGAGTGTTTAGCCCGTTTATTTACTGTTTTGTATTTAAGAAAAGGAAGTAAACTGTCCTTTACATATGTACCTCAATTGATGATTTGATTTCACTTTCCTATTGAGTACTGTTAATGAGTGTACATGATAACTACATAAGTTTGTCATGACAGCTGACAAAACCCCTATTAACATATTTATAAATGTTTCTTCCAATAAGCACCATGTGTCAAAAGGGCTACTTTAGCTAACTGGTGAAAATTGGGAAATGTGACATTTACAGCGGGAGACGCCATTTGAAATGAGCATTTATAAGTCCGTATGTAGGGTTATGTCAGTTGTCATGACAAGCTTATGTAGGTGACATATGACCTCATGAAGTGAACCATACAGTGAAGTTTTACCAATTATTTTATAATCCACTTACTGTTACTTCCTTCGCCTCGGTGGGGAAAGTTGTAATAACAGAACTCTATGTACTTAAAACAAGCTTGCTCGTTTTGTCAGTATGCAGTAGATTTCTACACGATTCTAAATTTGTTCTTCTCTGTGTTTCCAGGAGACTGATTTTGTAGCTACCATGATTATTTATAATGTCCTACTAAAATTAGCACATGTAATAATTGTCCATTATTGTCCAAAGCTTAGATTAAAATTTGGACTTTCTCCTTCACCAGTATTCTGAGATTTTGATTTTTACTTATGGTAGCCATTTTCCAGGGTTTTAGGACTCTGATCTAGGACTTAATAATATATGAATACCAACATGTTGCTCATTGTATCATGGTACCCTAAGGGGATGTCACACCGCCAATTTCTATGAAATTTTAAACGTCAAATATTAGCAAATACTTTGGTTCTAGAGTTCATCATCGAAGTTAAACAAAATAAAAACAGACACAAGAAATGATATGAGATGACGTCTAAAGCAACATATATGAGTCAAAACCAATTAATTACCACAAATAAATTAAACAACTACCTACCATTTCAGGAGATTCTGGATTTTCCAGTAATTCCTTCTCCTTCATTGCGCGCTGCAGAGTCTCTGAGAAACTTTGGTCCACCACTAAAACACTCTGTCCACCAAGTGTAGAATATTTACAGTCACTTTTCCTCGAGTTTGTCGTCATACAAACGTCATAATTATACATGTGCGGCAGAGTTCCAGTAACTCCTGTGTCTGCGTAACCGGGTGGATAGTACGGAATAACTGGGAGACTGGACTGATAGAAAATACGAGACTGTCTCCATCTGTAGATCTTCACTGATATTATAACTACTACAGTAGTAATGAAAAGGAAAGAAACAGCAGCCAGAGCTAAAACTAAGTAAAAAGTCAGGTTATCGTTGTATTCTTTGCTGTGCGTAAAGTCCGAGAACTCCGAGACCATTTCAGGGAAACTGTCCGCTACAGCTACATTGATGTTCACTACAGCTGAGCGAGACGGCTGTCCGTTATCCTCCACAACAACAGTGAGCTTCTGTTTCACTGCATCTTTATCAGTGACCTGGCGCACAGTCCGTATCTCTCCATTCTGTGGGCCCACTTCAAACAGCGCCCTGTCTGTGGCTTTCTGGAGTTTGTAGGAGAGCCAGGCATTCTGTCCAGAGTCCACATCAACAGCCACCACTTTAGTCACCAGATAGCCAACATCTGCTGAACGAGGCACAATCTCAGCCACCACAGAGCCACCAGTCTGTACTGGGTACAGAACCTGAGGAGCGTTGTCGTTCTGGTCTTGAACAATGATTGTCACCATAACTTCAGAACTTAGTGGAGGGGATCCACCGTCTCGCGCTGTCACGTTAAAGGTCAAACTCTTCATCTGCTCATAATCAAATGACCTCACAGCATGTATAACTCCGCTATCTGAATTAATGGACACCAAAGAACTTACTGGGTTGCCCATTACGTCACTGCCCTCCAAAAAATAGGACACTCTCGCATTTGGGCCCCAGTCAGCATCGCGTGCTTTAACGGTCAGCACAGCCACACCTGGTGAATTGTTTTCAGTAATAAAGGTTCTGTACTGATCAGAGTCGAAAACGGGTGCGTTATCATTCACATCTGAAATCTTAACAGTGAGTGTTTTATTACTGTGTAGAGCTGGACTTCCTTGATCGCTGACCAAAATAGTTATGTTATATTCAGCTATATTTTCCCGATCAAGAATGTCATCAGTAATCAGTGCATAATAATCAGTGAGTGATGACTCTATTTTAAACGGAATGTGTTCATTTATTTTGCACTGCACGACTCCGTTTTGACCAGAATCTGCGTCCTCTACATTAATAACAGCTACGGTGGTTCCTACTGGAGAATTCTCAGCGATGGTGTTAGAAAATGACATGAGCTGAATGGTGGGAGGATTATCGTTTACATCAACAACGTCTATGACTACTTTACACGTATCTGCAAGACCTCCTTTGTCCATTGCTTTAATGTCTAGTTGAAAGGCCTTTTCTGTCTCGTAATCTAAAATATTTAACAATGTAATTTCTCCTGTTTCCGAATTAATATCGAAAACATGTCTTGCATCTTCACTAGCCTGAGCAAAAGAATATGAGACCTCTCCATTTACACCTTCATCCGCATCAGCAGCGCTTACTGTAGTTAAAACAGTACCTACTGGGGAATTTTCCTTCACTTCTGCTTTATATAGAGCCTGTTTACATACTGGTGTATTATCATTAACATCTAATACAGAAATGTGAATTTGAACTGTGCTGGATTTCTTGGGTGATCCACCGTCGTAGGCAGTAAGAACTAATTTTAGCTCGTCACGCTCTTCTCGGTCCAGCTCGTGCTGCAAAATCATTTCTACATATTTCTTGCCATCAGCCCGGTTATTAACGTCCAGTTTGAAATTACCGGTGGGAGTGAGAGCATAATTTTGAATTCCATTAATACCTACGTCCATATCTACAGCGCTGTCTAAAGGAAAGCGTGTCCCAGAAGCTGTATTTTCGCTAATTTTCATATTAACTACAGCTTTCGGAAATTTCGGTGCATTATCATTTATATCCTGTACCTCAACTGTGATTCGGTGAAGCTGAATCGGGTTCTCAATGATCAGATCAAAGCTGAAGCTGCAGGGCGTTGTTTGCTTACAGAGCTCCTCTCGGTCTATCCTCTCCTTCACTACCAGAGCGCCTTTGTCTCTGCTCAGTTCCACATATTGGCGACCGCCCTTTGTTACAACTCGAGCTTTTCCTGAAATCAGTCTACTTATCTCGATTCCCAAATCCTTGGCGATGTTGCCCACAAAGGATCCCTCTGGCATCTCCTCCGGGATGGAATACCGCGCTTGGCAAAAGACGACGTCCATCCCGTAAAGACAGAGAAAGAAAAACACGGTCTGCCATTTTAACGGCATTGTAGATCTCCGACGATGCTGGGAAACGACACGCGAGCGCGAATAATCCACACAGGAAGCCATGTTGTCATCCAGCGATAGTTAAAAGTAAACGTGATTTTTTTTTTTTTTAATAAACGAATACTCTCCCGAGATTCAGGCTTTTCAAAGACGAAAAGAAGAAACGCTGATACCTCCTTCATAAATTCGTCAGAATGCGACTGTAGGAGGGACTATGGCGGATTAACACTGTGATCTTGACAATTGCTGTCCAATAGCGGCACTTAGAGTATGAATTCTGACAGTGCACCGGCATATTCTTTTGTGCTTTCTGTAGTGCTAACCCGTGCGCTTCAAAGTCTCTAAGTGAATCAGAATGAGCCACAACGCATCCAACAATTCCTCCGCAATATTCAATTGTCCACCCACTAATTCAAAATCTCATTTTTTCACTGTATGTTTTGCGTTTAATATCATCACTGATGCGTAATAAAAAGTTCGCATGCATTCAACAAGACGTTTTAGAGGTTATACACAACGAAACGGCGCACAAATGCTGAAAGGAATGAAATTCGACACATTTCAGCACTAAGGAGACGAACAGCGCCAGCAACTACAGTGGGGAGGCGGCTCTCTATGTAACACTTTAGATCACAGGTCAACCGTAAGACATGCATTTCTGTGCACAGCAATATGCAAGAATTTTCTGACCTACAAGCAAATTATTTCAAAGATCAGCTTGAAACAGCATGAAAATAGTGTTGTGTTTAACTCTGTCGTTGATTCAGCAACGTCACTTTCCCTGAAAATATGGTTCTAAAGCAGTAGATACAGGAAAAGACTGTGAAAGGAGTAAGATGTAACACTCCCAGTTTCACCAATGATGAAAAAGCCATAGGGCTGATTTCGCAGTACACTTTGCACATCCACTCCCACCTGATCACACAGGATACGTTTGAAGATTTTGCGTGAAACAGTGAAGTGTTTATATGAGAACAGCTGATGTTGATGTAAGAAAGTAAAATCTCACATTAGTATTATATTTTCTTGCCACTCAAATTTACGGGGTTTACATATTTCAACTGATGTGCTTTAAATCAGCAATTTGTCTATTTTAATTTGAAAAGAATACTATATGCTATTCTCCGACATTCATGCTATGAAATCTAGCAATACAGGATTTCTTAATAAACTATAAACTTCACTTAGTCCTAAATCGTCTGAAGCTTTCTTGTATTTTTAATTAACCCTTATACAGTGTTATGTGCTGGGAATGTTTTGGTGTAAAGTAATAGGTGCAAGGTGAGAGTTTAGCCTGCTTGTTTACCTGTTTTTAATTAAGAAAAAATGAAGAAAAATGTCGTTTACATAGGTACCCCATTTTTGGTATCATTTTCTTATACAGTACTGCCAGTGAGTTTACATGACACCTATATACGTTTGTCATGACAACTGACATAACCCTTCATATATATTTGTAAATATTTCTTCCAATAGACCTTATCTGTCATAAGGGCTACTTTAGTTAATTTTGGTCAAAATTGGGAAATGTGACATTTACAGCGAATGACGACAATCGGAATGAGCATTTATATATTCTTATGTAGGGTCATTTCAGTTGTCATTAAAACCTTAGCCAGGTGGCAAGTTTTAATAACAGAATGTATTAAAAAAAACAAAACACTTGCTCCTTTTGTCAGTATGCAGTAGATTTCGAAACATTTCTCAAATTTTCTTCTCTGGGTTCACGGGAGACTAATTTTGTAGTTATTATCATAATTATTTTAAATATCCTGCTAAAATGAGCACATTTTCTAATTGTCCAGTCGTGCTATTGCTTAGATTAAATGTTGGACTTTCTCCTTCACCAGAATTCTGAGATTTTGATTTTTACAAGTGGTAGCTATTTTCTAAGGTTTAAGGACTTTGACCAAGGAATTATTAATATATGAATACCAACATATTTCTCATCATATCATGCTGCCCTAAGGGTATGTCAAACCTCCAACATGTATGAAATTTTGAATGTTAAATATTAGCAAATTCTTTGGTTCTAGAGTTCATCATTAAACTTAAACAAAATAAAAACAGACACAATAAATAATATGAGATAACCTATACCACAAGGTGTATCAGTCAAAAGCAATTAATGACCATAAATACAATAAGCACCTACCTACCATTTCTGGAGATTCTGGATTTTCCAGTAATTCCTTCTCCTTCATTGCGCGCTGCAGAGTCTCTGAGAAACTTTGGTCCACCACTAAAACACTCTGTCCACCAAGTGTAGAATATTTACAGTCGCTTTTCCTAGAGTTAGTCGTCATACAAACGTCATAATTGTACATGTGCGGCAGAGTTCCAGTAACTCCTGTGTCTGCGTAACCGGGTGGATAGTACGGAATAACTGGAAGGTTGGACTGATAGAAAATACGAGACTGTCTCCATCTGTAGATCTTCACTGATATTATAACTACTACAGTAGTAATGAAAAGGAAAGAAACAGCAGCCAGAGCTAAAACTAAGTAAAAAGTCAGGTTATCGTTGTATTCTTTGCTGTGCGTAAAGTCCGAGAACTCCGAGACCATTTCAGGGAAACTGTCCGCTACAGCTACATTGATGTTCACTACAGCTGAGCGAGACGGCTGTCCGTTATCCTCCACAACAACAGTGAGCTTCTGTTTCACTGCATCTTTATCAGTGACCTGGCGCACAGTCCGTATCTCTCCATTCTGTGGGCCCACTTCAAACAGCGCCCTGTCTGTGGCTTTCTGGAGTTTGTAGGAGAGCCAGGCATTCTGTCCAGAGTCCACATCAACAGCCACCACTTTAGTCACCAGATAGCCAACATCTGCTGAACGAGGCACAATCTCAGCCACCACAGAGCCACCAGTCTGTACTGGGTACAGAACCTGAGGAGCGTTGTCGTTCTGGTCTTGAACAATGATTCTCACCATAACTTCAGAACTTAATGGAGGGGATCCACCGTCTCGCGCTGTCACGTTCAAGGTCAAACTCTTCATCTGCTCATAATCAAATGACCTCACAGCATGTATAACTCCGCTATCTGAATCAATGGACAATAAAGAGATGACTGGGTTGCCCATTACGTCACTGTCCTCCAAAAAATAGGACAATCGCGCATTTGGGCCCCAGTCAGCATCGCGTGCTTTAACGGTCAGCACAGCCACACCTGGTGAATTGTTTTCAGTAATAAAGGTTCTGTACTGATCAGAGTCGAAAACGGGTGCGTTATCATTCACATCTGAAATCTTAACAGTTAGTGTTTTATCACTGTGTAGAGCTGGACTTCCTTGATCGCTGACCAATATGGTTATGTTATATTCAGCTATATTTTCCCGATCAAGAATTTCATCAGTAATCAATGCATAATAATCAGTGAGTGATGACTCTATTTTAAACGGTATATTTTCATTTATTTTGCACTGCACGACTCCGTTTTGACCAGAATCTGCGTCCTCTACATTAATAACAGCTACGGTGGTTCCTACTGGAGAATTCTCAGCAATGATCTTAGAAAATGACATGAGCTGAATGGTAGGAGGATTATCGTTTACATCAACAACGTCTATGATCACTTTACACGTGTCAGCCAGGGTACCTTTATCCATTGCCTTAATATCTATTTGATAGCTCTTTTCTGTCTCGTAATCTAAACGATTCAATAATGTAATTTCTCCTGTTTCAGAATTTATGTCGAAAACATGCCTTGCGTCTTCACTAGCCTGAGCAAAAGAATATGAGACTTCACCATTTACACCTTCATCCGCATCAGCAGCGCTTACTGTAGTTAAAACAGTACCTACCGGGGAATTTTCCTTCACTTCGGCTTTATATAAAGCCTGTTTACAAACTGGTGTATTATCATTAACATCTAAGACAGAAATGTGAATTTGAACTATGCTGGATTGTTTCGGTGATCCTCCGTCGTATGCAGTGAGAACTAAATTTAGCTCGTCACGCTCTTCTCGATCCAACTCACGCTGCAAAACCATATCTACATATTTTTTGCCATCAGCCCGGTTATGAATTTCTAATTTAAAATTACTGGTAGGACTAAGAGCGTAATTTTGTATTCCATTAATACCTACGTCCATATCTACAGCGCTATCTAAAGGAAAGCGTGTCCCAGAAGCTGTATTTTCGCTTATTTTCAAATCAACTGTAGTTTTCGGAAATTTTGGTGAATTATCATTTATATCTTGAACCTCAACTGTGATGCGATGAAGCTGAATCGGGTTCTCAATAATCAGATCAAAGCTGAAGCTGCAGGGCGTTGTTTGCTTACAGAGCTCCTCTCGGTCTATCCTCTCCTTCACTACCAGAGCGCCTTTGTCTCTGCTCAGTTCCACATATTGGCGACCGCCCTTTGTTACAACTCGAGCTTTTCCTGAAATCAGTCTACTTATCTCGATTCCCAAATCCTTGGCAATGCTTCCCACAAAGGATCCCTCTGGCATCTCCTCCGGGATGGAATACCGCGCTTGGCAAAAGACGACGTCCATCCCGTAAAGACAGAGAAAGAAAAACACGGTCTGCCATTTTAACTGCATTGTAGATCTCCGACGATGATGAGAAACGACAAACGAGCGCAAATAATCCACACAGAAAGCCATGTTATCATCCAGCGACAGTTACAAGAAAAGTAAACGTGCTTTTTTTGAATGAACTAATAATCTCCAAAGATTCAGGCTTTTCAAAGACGAAAAGCATAAACGCTGATACCTCCTACATAAATTCATCAGTATGAGTCTGTAGGAGGGACTATGGCGGATTAACACTGTGATCTTGAAAACTGTTGTCCAATAGCGGCACCTAGAGTATGAATTCTGACAGTGCACCGGTATTGTCTCTTTGTGCTTTCTGTAGTGTTAACCTGTGCACTCCAAAGTCTCTAACTGAAAGAAAATGAACCATAACGCATCCAACAATTCCTCCGCAGTGTTCAATTGTCCACTCTCTAATTCAGAATCTAATTTTTCACTGTATGTATTGCGTTTATTATCATCAGTTATGCGTAATAAAACCTTCGCATGCATTAAACAGGACGTTTTAGAGGTTATATACAACGAAACGGCGCACAAATGCTGAAATGAATGAAATTCGACACATTTCAGCACTAAGGAGAAGAACAGCGCCAGCAACTACAGTGGGGAGGCGGCTCTCTATGTAACACTTTAGATCACAGGTCAACCGTAAGACATGCATTTCTGTGCACAGCAATATTCAAGAACTGTATGCCCTACAAGCAAATTATTTTAAAGATCAGCTTGAAACAACATGAAAATAATGTCGTATTGAACACAGTCGCTAATTCAGCAACGTCACTTTCCCTCAAAATATGGTTCAAAAGTAGGGGAAACAGGAAAGTGTTGTGAAACGGCGTAAGATGTAAACTCCCAGTTTCACCAGTGATGAATATGTTATACGGCTGATTCGCTGTACACTTTGCACACCCACTCCCACCTGAGCATACAAGAGAAGTTTGGAGATTTTCCGTGAGACACTAAAGAGTTTAAATAACATCAGCTGATTTTGATATAAGAAAGTTACATATTTTTCTTGGCACTCACACTAATGGATGTTAAATGCTCCAGCTGATCTGTTTTATATCAGTAAGTTATCTAGTTTAATTAGAAGTGTTAAATATGTGTTGTTTTCAGATATACATGCTAACAATCTAGTTGTATTGTGACGGACCCGGACGGGGCTGGTAGTAATGCAGAAAATAATTTAGGGGAACTGACCAGAGAACAACTGACCCATTCACATTTCTTACTTGAAATTGAACAGTCAGTGAAAATTTGATTTAGTTCTAAATCATATGAAGCCTTTCTTTGTTTCAAACTAATACACACTTATTGTTATGTGCTTAAAATATTTTGATGTAATGAGTTTGATGTGAGAGTGTAGCCTGTTGTTTTCCTGTTTGGCATTTAAGAATAAAAGAATGATGTCCTTTATATATGTACCTCAATAAATTTTTGGTATAATTTTCTTATAGCGCACTGCTAATGAGTGTATATGACACCTACAAAAGTTTGTCATTACAACTGACAAAGCATACATACTACATACATATTTATAAATATTTCGTCCAATAGGCCTCCTCGTTTGTAAGGGCTACCTTAGCTAACTTTGGTCAAAATTGGAAAATTTGACATTTATAGCGAATGACGCTCATTTGAATGATCATTCATAATTTTTATGTAGGTTTATGTCAGTCATCATGACAACTGCTCATGTAGGTGGCATACAGCCTCGTGAAGAGAACCCTACAGTAAAGTTTTACCAATTATTTGATAATTCATTAATGTTACTTATTTCGCCACGATGGGGAAAGTTGTAATAACAGAACAATATGTATTTAAAACAAGCTTGCTCGTTTTGTCAGTGAGCAGTACATTTCTACACAATATTTTTTTTTATACTTCGCTGTGTTTCCAGGACATTGACTTTGTAGTTATCACAATCATTTACAATACTCTACTAAAAAGAGCACCTCTTATGATTGTCCATTCTTGCTATAGCTTAGATAAAAGTTTGACTTTCTACTTCACCAGAATTTTGAAAACTTGATTTTTACCTGTGGTCGCCATTTTCCAGGATTTTAGGACTTTGAACTAGAACTTAAAAATATATTAATACCAAAATATTATTCAACATACCATGCTGCCCTAAAGGTATGACACACCCCCAACGTCGATGAAATATTGAATGCCAACTATTACAAACACTGTGGTCAAGAGCTCATTACGAAAGTTTAACAGACACAATAAATAAAGAATAAAATATGTACTACAAGACAAATGTTTCAAAAGCGATTAATTTCCATGAACAAAATAAGCAACAACCTACCATTTCGGGAGATTCTGCATTTTCCAGTAATTCCTTCTCCTTCATCGCGCGCTGCAGAGTCTCTGAGAAACTTTGGTCCACCACTAAAACACTCTGTCCACCAAGTGTAGAATATTTACAGTCGCTTTTCCTCGAGTTTGTCGTCATACAAACGTCATAATTGTACATGTGCGGCAGAGTTCCAGTAACTCCTGTGTCTGCGTAACCGGGTGGATAGTACGGAATAACTGGGAGACTGGACTGATAGAAAATACGAGACTGTCTCCATCTGTAGATCTTCACTGATATTATAACTACTACAGTAGTAATGAAAAGGAAAGAAACAGCAGCCAGAGCTAAAACTAAGTAAAAAGTCAGGTTATCGTTGTATTCTTTGCTGTGCGTAAAGTCCGAGAACTCCGAGACCACTTCAGGGAAACTGTCCGCTACAGCTACATTGATGTTCACTACAGCTGAGCGAGACGGATGTCCGTTATCCTCCACAACAACAGTGAGCTTCTGTTTCACTGCATCTTTATCAGAGACCTGGCGCACAGTCCGTATCTCTCCATTCTGTGGGCCCACTTCAAACAGCGCCCTGTCTGTGGCTTTCTGGAGTTTGTAGGAGAGCCAGGCATTCTGTCCAGAGTCCACATCAACAGCCACCACTTTAGTCACCAGATAGCCAACATCTGCTGAACGAGGCACAATCTCAGCCACCACAGAGCCACCAGTCTGTACTGGGTACAGAACCTGAGGAGCGTTGTCGTTCTGGTCTTGAACAATGATTGTCACCATAACTTCAGAACTTAATGGAGGGGATCCACCGTCTCGCGCTGTCACGTTAAAGGGCAAACTCTTCATCTGCTCATAATCAAATGACCTCACAGCATGTATAACTCCGCTATCTGAATTAATGGACACCAAAGAACTTACTGGGTTGCCCATTACATCACTGTCCTCCAAAAAATAGGACAATCGCGCATTTGGGCCCCAGTCAGTATCGCGTGCTTTAACGGTCAGCACAGCCACACCTGGTGAATTGTTTTCAGTAATAAAGGTTCTGTACTGATCAGAGTCGAAAACGGGTGCGTTATCATTCACATCTGAAATCTTAACAGTGAGTGTTTTATTACTGTGTAGAGCTGGACTTCCTTGATCGCTGACCAATATAGTTATGTTATATTCGGCTATATTTTCTCGATCAAGAATTTCATCAGTAATCAGTGCATAGTAATCAGTGAGTGATGACTCTATTTTAAACGGTATATTTTCATTTATTTTGCACTGCACGACTCCGTTTTCACCAAAATCTGCGTCCTCTACATTAATAACAGCTACGGTGGTTCCTACTGGAGAATTCTCAGCAATGGTGTTAGAAAATGACATGAGCTGAATGGTGGGAGGATTATCGTTTACATCAACAACGTCTATGATCACTTTACATGTGTCTGCCAGGGTACCTTTATCCATTGCTTTGACATTTAATTGAAAATTTTTCTCTATTTCATAATCTAAGTGGTCTAAAGTTTTAATTTCTCCTGTTTCTGAGTTTATCTCGAAAAGATTTCTGGCTTTTTCACTAGCCTGAGCAAAAGAATATGAAACTTCTCCATTTACACCTTCATCAGCATCAGCAGCGCTTATTGTACTTACGACTGTACCAACTGGAGAATTCTCCTTCACTTCGGCTTTATAAAGTACCTGTTTACAAACTGGAGCATTGTCATTGTTATCTAATACAGATATATGAATTTGAACTGCGCTAGATTTTTTAGGTGATCCTCCGTCGTAGGCAGTGAGAACTAATTTCAGCTGATCGCGCTCCTCTCGGTCCAACTCACGCTGCAAAACCATTTCTACGTTCTTCTGGCCATCGGGCTGGTTATTTATTTCCAATTTGAAATTATCAGTAGGGCTAAGAGCATAGTTTTGTATTCCATTAATACCAACGTCCATGTCTACAGCACTATCTAAAGGAAAGCGTGTCCCAGATGCAGTGTTTTCGCTAATTTTCATATTAACTACAGCTTTCGGAAATTTTGGAAGGTTATCATTTATATCTTGAACCTCAACTGTGATTCGATGAAGCTGAATCGGGTTCTCAATGATCAGATCAAAGCTGAAGCTGCAGGGCGTTGTTTGCTTACAGAGCTCCTCTCGGTCTATCCTCTCCTTCACTACCAGAGCGCCTTTGTCTCTGCTCAGTTCCACATATTGGCGACCGCCCTTTGTTACAACTCGAGCTTTTCCTGAAATCAGTCTACTTATCTCGATTCCCAAATCCTTGGCAATGTTTCCCACAAAGGATCCCTCTGGCATCTCCTCCGGGATGGAATACCGCGCTTGGCAAAAGACGACGTCCATCCCGTAAAGACAGAGAAAGAAAAACACGGTCTGCCATTTTAACTGCATTGTAGATCTCCGACGATGCTGAGCAGAGAAACACGAGCGCAAATAATCCACACAGAAAGCCATATTACCCTCCAGTGACAGTTACAAGAAAAACTACAAGTGATTTTTTTCTTAAAAATGAATCAAGATTTGCGCCAGATACAGGCTGTTCATAGCAGAGATAAGAAACGCTAATGTCATACAGAAAAAAAATCCTCAGTATGAGACTGTGGGAGGGACTACAGCGATTTTCCACTGTAATCACACAACTGTTATCCAATAGCGGCACTCAGTGTATGAACATGGAAAGTGCACTGCTTTAGAAAATCCATATGCTCTTTGTACACGACAACTAGCCTTGTAAAATGACATTAAATGTTGCAGTGTCGCAATGTTTTCTCCAGAACCTCTCAGTGAAACAGAGCAACATACAGCATATATCATTCCACATCTTAACTGCAGTATACTTATAAGTGCAATCAATCACATTCTTAGTTAATTATGGTTTTATTTTCGTCATAATAGTGGCAAATGTGTAAAATGAAAAGATGTGAAAAAACTCAGCAAGGACAAGTAAAGAAATCTACGACACTTGGTGCAAGAGCTGAAAGGACTAAAACTGGGTGCATTCAGCATTTCAGCACTAAAGAGTTGGACAGCGCCACTAAGAGTGCGAAAAGAGAAGCATGTAGATAAGCATATCTGAGGAAGACGGAAACGTGAAGTGTTCAGCGCCCTAAACAAAGTGAGAATTTCGCATTTGAAAAGTTTGATCTTAAAACATGTATCTCTTGTTCACAATACTCAAAAGTTGTCTTAAAATAAAATATTATGATTAACAATCAAATACAATGTATCAAAACTAAAGTATGTAAATCATGCAGTGCTAAGCCCAATCACATTTCAATGATAAAAATAGTGTTTTTTTTTTTTTTTGTTTTTTTTTGTTTTTTTTTTTTTTTTTAACGAAAATGGAAAATGGATATGTGTATTTTCAAGACGATCCATTACGAATTATTCTTATGAATTCCAAAAGTGATTAAAACAACATTCATGAAAAAAGTCCATAACAAAAAACAACACAAGACAACAATAAAACAAACAGAAAACGAGAAAATATCGAACGACACTGCAAAATTAAAGTATATGAACAAACGTCCTACCATTTCTGGAGATTCTGCATTTTCCAGGAATTCCTTCTCCTTCATTGCGCGCTGCAGAGTCTCTGAGAAACTTTGGTCCACCACTAAAACACTCTGTCCACCAAGTGTAGAATATTTACAGTCACTTTTCCTCGAGTTTGTCGTCATACAGACGTCATAATTGTACATGTGCGGCAGAGTTCCAGTAACTCCTGTGTCTGCGTAACCGGGTGGATAGTACGGAATAACTGGGAGACTGGACTGATAGAAAATACGAGACTGTCTCCATCTGTAGATCTTCACTGATATTATAACTACTACAGTAGTAATGAAAAGGAAAGAAACAGCAGCCAGAGCTAAAACTAAGTAAAAAGTCAGGTTATCGTTGTATTCTTTGCTGTGCGTAAAGTCCGAGAACTCCGAGACCACTTCAGGGAAACTGTCCGCTACAGCTACATTGATGTTCACTACAGCTGAGCGAGACGGCTGTCCGTTATCCTCCACAACAACAGTGAGCTTCTGTTTCACTGCATCTTTATCAGTGACCTGGCGCACAGTCCGTATCTCTCCATTCTGTGGGCCCACTTCAAACAGCGCCCTGTCTGTGGCTTTCTGGAGTCTGTAGGAGAGCCAGGCATTCTGTCCAGAGTCCACATCAACAGCCACCACTTTAGTCACCAGATAGCCAACATCTGCTGAAGGAGGCACAATCTCAGCCACCACAGAGCCACCAGTCTGTACTGGGTACAGAACCTGAGGAGCGTTGTCGTTCTGGTCTTGAACAATGATCGTCACTATAACTTCAGAACTTAGTGGAGGGGATCCACCGTCTCGCGCTGTCACGTTAAAGGTCAAACTCTTCATCTGCTCATAATCAAATGACCTCACAGCATGTATAACTCCGCTATCTGAATTAATGGACACCAAAGAACTTACTGGGTTGCCAATTACGTCACTGTCCTCCAAAAAATACGACACTCGCGCATTTGGGCCCCAGTCAGCATCGCGTGCTTTAACGGTCACCACAGCCACACCTGGTGAATTGTTTTCAGTAATAAAGGTTCTGTACTGATCAGAACCGAAAACGGGTGCGTTATCATTCACATCTGAAATCTTAACAGTTAGTGTTTTATCACTGTGTAGAGCTGGACTTCCTTGATCGCTGACCAACACAGTTATGTTATATTCAGCTATATTTTCTCGGTCGAGAGTTTCATCAGTAATCAGTGCATAGTAATCAGTGAGTGATGATTCTATTTTAAACGGTATATTTTCATTTATTTTGCACTGCACGACTCCGTTTTGACCAGAATCTGCGTCCTCTACATTAATAACAGCTACGGTGGTTCCTACTGGAGAATTCTCAGCAATGGTGTTAGAAAATGACATGAGCTGAATGGTGGGAGGATTATCGTTTACATCAACAACGTCTATAATCACTTTACACGTGTCTGCAAGACCTCCTTTATCCATTGCCTTGATATTTAATTGATAGCTCTTCTCTGTTTCAAAATCCAAACGGTTTAGTGTTGTAATTTCTCCCGTTTCTGCGTTTATTTCAAAAAGATTCCTGGCTTCTTTACTGGCCTGAGCAAAAGAATATGAGACTTCTCCATTTACACCTTCATCAGCGTCGAGAGCGCTTACTGTAGCTAACACTGTACCAACTGGAGAATTCTCCTTCACTTCGGCTTTATAAATAGATGGTTTACAAACCGGAATATTATCGTTAACATCTAAAACGAAAATATGAATTTGAACTGTGCTCGATTTCTTTGGTGATCCTCCGTCGTAGGCAATGAGAACTAATTTTAGCTCATCGCGCTCCTCTCGGTCCAGCTCATGCTGCAATACCATTTCGACGTAGTTGTTCTCCCAACCCTGGTTGTTTATTTCCAGTTTAAAATTATCAGTAGGGCTAAGCGCATAGCTTTGAATTCCATTTAAATCTACGTCCATATCTACAGCGCTGTCTAAAGGAAAGCGAGTCCCTTTAGCTGTGCTTTCGCTAATTTGCAATTTGACCATATCTTTGGGAAATATCGGTGCATTATCATTTATATCTTGAACCTCAACTGTGATTCGGTGAAGCTGAATCGGGTTTTCAATGATCAGATCAAAGCTGAAGCTGCAGGGCGTTGTTTGCTTACAGAGCTCCTCTCGGTCTATCCTCTCCTTCACTACCAGAGCGCCTTTGTCTCTGCTCAGTTCCACATACTGGCGACCGCCCTTTGTCACAACTCGAGCTTTTCCTGAAATAAGTCTACTTATCTCGATTCCCAAATCCTTGGCGATGTTGCCCACAAAGGATCCCTCTGGCATCTCCTCCGGGATGGAATACCGCGCTTGGCAAACGACGACGTCCATCCCGTAAAGACAGAGAAAGAAAAACACGGTCTGCCATTTTAACTGCATTGTAGATCTCCGACGATGATGAGAAACGACACGCGAGAGCAAATGAGCCATAATGCGAGCCATGTTATCCTCCAGCGACAGTAACGATAAAATTAAAAGTGATTATGAAAAAATGAATCAAGAATCAAACCAGTTACACACTGTTCATAGCAGAGAAAAGAAAGGCAAATACCTCCTGCATAAAAAAGCGTCAGTATGAGACTGTAGGTGGGACTATGGCGGTGTTGTACTTTAATCTTACATTTCTAGTCCAATAGCGGCCCTTAGAGTATGAACACTGGAAATGCACTGGTCTAAGAAAAACACATTGTCCGTGTACATTAGAACTGGTCACGGAATATCTCACCATATTCTGCTGCAGTGGCAAATGTTTACTTCAGAATCTCTCAATGAAATAGAAAAATAACATTTCAAACTCCAATTGCTATTCATTTATATGTACAAACAACAGGTGGTACGTTACGTTTCGCTTTATTTTGAATATATGATATAAAATATGCTAAATCAAAAGTTTACTCAAGCTCAGCAACGACTATTTATAGACATGACCACTAAAAGGTTAACCAGTTGAAACTACTGTAACAAGTAGCGTTCAGCATTTCAGCACTAAAGAGATGAACAGCTCCGATGACAGAGCGCGTAAAATAGAGAAACTGTTATTAAGCACGTCTGTGGATGATGGAAAACAAAAAAAGTGTTTTGCACCATTTCATTCACTGCCATAATATAGTGACAATATCATGCTTAGATTCATTTTGCGTTCAAGTCATTAATTTGTGTGCACATCAATCTTAAACAGTGCTTTAAAAATGAAATATTATGACTTAGGCGCAAATTATGACAAAGTACCAGAAAGAAAATATGGAAATCATGTACAAATAAGCGCTGTCTAATAATCAACTACTTCAAACTCTATTTAACGAATATGTTTACATGCATATGGATGACACTGGATTAGGAATTGTTCTTAAGAAATCATAAAAGAGCAGAAAATATAAGTTCATAGAAATAATAATACTTAAAAAAAAAAGTTTACGATTACAAAAACATAATTATTTTATGAGCAAACACCCAGCACAACTCTCAAATAGCAGAATAAAAACAAAGGAATGTCCTACCATTTCCGGAGATTCTGCATTTTCCAGTAATTCCTTCTCCTTCATCGCGCGCTGCAGAGTCTCTGAGAAACTTTGGTCCACCACTAAAACACTCTGTCCACCAAGTGTAGAATATTTACAGTCGCTTTTCCTCGAGTTTGTCGTCATACAGACGTCATAATTATACATGTGCGGCAGAGTTCCAGTAACTCCTGTGTCTGCGTAACCGGGTGGATAGTACGGAATAACTGGGAGACTGGACTGATAGAAAATACGAGACTGTCTCCATCTGTAGATCTTCACTGATATTATAACTACTACAGTAGTAATGAAAAGGAAAGAAACAGCAGCCAGAGCTAAAACTAAGTAAAAAGTCAGGTTATCGTTGTATTCTTTGTTGTGCGTAAAGTCCGAGAACTCCGAGACCACTTCAGGGAAACTGTCCGCTACAGCTACATTGATGTTCACTACAGCTGAGCGAGACGGCTGTCCGTTATCCTCCACAACAACAGTGAGCTTCTGTTTCACTGCATCTTTATCAGTCACCTGGCGCACAGTCCGTATCTCTCCATTCTGTGGGCCCACTTCAAACAGCGCCCTGTCTGCGGCTTTCTGGAGTTTGTAGGAGAGCCAGGCATTCTGTCCAGAGTCCACATCAACAGCCACCACTTTAGTCACCAGATAGCCAACATCTGCTGAACGAGGTACAATCTCAGCCACCACAGAGCCGCCAGTCTGTACTGGGTACAGAACCTGAGGAGCGTTGTCGTTCTGGTCTTGAACAATGATCGTCACTATAACTTCAGAACTTAGTGGAGGGGATCCACCGTCTCGCGCTGTCACGTTAAATGTCAAACTCTTCATCTGCTCATAATCAAATGACCTCACAGCATGTATAACTCCGCTATCTGAATTAATGGACACCAAAGAACTTACTGGGTTGCCCATTACGTCACTGTCCTCCAAAAAATAGGACACTCTCGCATTTGGGCCCCAGTCAGCATCGCGTGCTTTAACGGTCAGCACAGCCACACCTGGTGAATTGTTTTCAATAATAAAGGTTCTGTATTGATCAGAGTCGAAAACGGGTGCGTTATCATTCACATCTGAAATCTTAACAGTGAGTGTTTTATTACTGTGTAGAGCTGGACTTCCTTGATCGCTGACCAATATGGTTATGTTATATTCAGCTATATTTTCCCGATCGAGAATGTCATCAGTAATCAGTGCATAATAATCAGTGAGTGATGACTCTATTTTAAACGGAATGTGTCCATTTATTTTGCACTGCACGACTCCGTTTTGACCAGAATCTTCGTCCTCTACATTAATAACAGCTACGGTGGTTTCTACTGGAGAATTCTCAGCGATGGTGTTAGAAAATGACATGAGCTGAATGGTGGGAGGATTATCGTTTACATCAACAACGTCTATGATCACTTTACACGTATTTGCAAGACCTCCTTTGTCCTTTGCCTTTATATTTAGTATATAACTTCTTTCGTTTTCATAATCTAAACTATCTAATATTGTAATGTCTCCTGTGGCTGGATTTATTTCAAATAATTCTCTTGCCTCTTTGCTAGCCTGTGCAATAGAATATGATATTTCACCATTTATTCCTTCATCAGCATCAACAGCGTTTACAGTCGTTAAAACAGTACCAACTGGAGAATTCTCCATAACATCAATTTTATACACAGCCTGCTTACATACCGGAGCATTATCATTAATATCCAGTACAGTAACATGGATTCGAACTGTGCCAGATTTTTTAGGCGATCCTCCATCAGACGCAATTAGAACTAATTGTAGCTCATCACGATCCTCTCGGTCCAACTCACGCTGCAAAACCATTTCTACATGTTTGCTTCCATCCGACTGGCTATTTATTTCCAATTTGAAGTTATCGGTGGGGGAAAGCGCATAGCTTTGAATTCCATTGATACCAACGTCCATATCTACAGCGCTATCTAAGGGGAAGCGAGCTCCAGATGCTGTATTTTCGCTAATTTCTATGTTCACGGCACCTTTAGGAAATATGGGCGCATTGTCATTTATATCTTGAACCTCAACTGTGATTCGATGAAGCTGAATCGGGTTCTCAATGATCAGATCAAAGCTGAAGCTGCAGGGCGTTGTTTGCTTACAGAGCTCCTCTCGATCTATCCTCTCCTTCACTACCAGAGCGCCTTTGTCTCTGCTCAGTTCCACATACTGGCGACCGCCCTTTGTTACAACTCGAGCTTTTCCTGAAATCAGTCTACTTATCTCGATTCCCAAATCCTTGGCGATGTTTCCCACAAAGGATCCCTCTGGCATCTCCTCCGGGATGGAATACCGCGCTTGGCAAACGACGACGTCCATCCCGTGAAGACAGAGAAGAAAAAACACGCTCTGCCATTTTAACTGAGCCGTCTTTCGACGAACGTGTCTATCATACCGCGAGCGCAAACAATCCATCTTGAAAATCCAGAGTTCCCAGGCGCATGTAACGTTACAATGGAAACGACTTTGGAAAAAAAATAAAATCCTTCGTTAAATCCAGCTAGTCTTAGAGACCAACCCTTCTACATCGAACAACAGAGAGCTCTATTTGTAGCCTCCTCTGGGAGGAATATCTCTCTAAACCGGCCCACACCAATCAGTTCTTAGACAACAGCGGCACTTAGAGTTGAAACAGTGAAAATGCAACAGTAAAAGCTTAAAAGCTCAGAGCTCAGAGGCTAGAACATGATACACGTATAAACAAGCAAAATTACCACACTGACAGAAGAAAACAACAACACTTATTTAATTATTTCCACTTAGCAATAATGCTGATTTAACATATTCCATAAATATGGAGCCAATGTACATATTTGAGACGAGTAAGAATATTCACTTTTTTGCTACCCTGTAAAGTCCGTGTGTTACCCAGAGGCATTATGAAGCATATAACTGGGAAACACTGAGCTGACGCTTAGTATGATCACAGTTCAGCACCACTGAAAAGAACAGCAACAGGGGGAAAAAAGTATTTCTTTTATGGATATCAGTACAATAAATTATTCATCAAACAATTATCACTTGAAACATGATTCAATAGAACATAGAAGACCAAGAATGACAACAAATTAAACACATTAATAAACTGTTAATGATGCATGACAATAACTATTTTACTGCGAATGGATGAAAATTCTCATTCAACCGCTAAAAATCTCAGGCTTCTTACATAGCATGGCTGATTATTTACTAAGTACAGGGACCTCAATGCAAACTGATTGAGCTATTCTTAGTTTAAAGAAGTATTTAATAAAACTTTAGCCCACTGGTGGGCACTGGCCATTTAAGAGTTAAGGATGTCACACAGCTCAGGAGATTAAAAAAAAAATGTTTAAGTTAAAACAGTTAAAGAAATTTCATGTGAGCAATACATTTCTGATCTGTGTGGTATAATCTGGTACAGGCAGCAGCAGCACTGGTCCTGACCTACATTTTCACAGTATATAAAAAAATAAATACTCTAGTCTCAGACTGCACATTTCTCTGCAGATGTGCAGAACACAAGACTCTGTGATGTTCTACACAGCCTGATAAATGCTCTCATGTGTCTCTTCAAAACCAAGTGTGCTGCATTATATGTTGACTTAACAATATCACATAGTTGCTGTCAACTGATTTTGCTTTGTTCTCGGTTTTCTAGCCAAGTAGGTGTTAATGTTTGTTTCTGCAGCACATATGTGTTTTATCTAATCTTAACATTGCTAGTTAAAGACAATTGTGACCATTATGCTCTCTTGATATATGCTAACATGATTTCTTCAAACTGATTGCCAGTTCTGTCTTGACATATCACCCTCCAACATGGGCTTTGTATTTTTAGTTGATGTGGGTATTTGTTTGTGTGTTTGTTTCACATACAGGTACATGATTCCATTTTTTCCCCTCATAGCTTTGAACTATCAATATGCTTATGGAACCTTGTTCACACTTAATTATGCATCAGCAATTTGAGCAAAAAAGCAACATGATTAATAGTAGCTGAATATAAATGCATAATGCAGCATGATCAGAAAAAGGCTTTTTAAACAGCTATGTATACACATAAAAACATGCAGCACAGAATTGTTTTTTTCATCCTATCCATCCACATCCATCTGAAAAACTTTGATCTGTAAGTAACAACTTGCAACTTACTTTCTTTTTCGACTCATGAACTTGCCTTCTGCTTCAAGTTCAAATACAGATTCTGGTATTTTTAGCATTAGATACAGACAGAGTATGAGTATTCAGTATGAGGTTCTTATTCAGGCATTTGATCATAGTGGGGAAGAAAGAGGCCTGGAAGACACTAAAAGAGTTAAAGAAGAAGTAAGAAACAGAAGTCAACAGAAAGTAAGACCCAGACTCAAATGATCACAATATATCCGCCGTTGAACAAGAGGGTAGCACTGAAGTCAAAGTTACATCCTTGTTGATTAATTAGAATTTACTGTGATCTTCTTCCCCCATAAAGACACATTTCAGAGAGTAAGGTGAGAATATTATCAAGATGACTATTGAGCCAACATATTGGGTTGAAGAAAGAAAGTCCAGCTTTGAACCAGCATTTCACCAACAGAGGTTGTAAGGCTAGTGCCAGATATAAGATACATGGAGAAGAGATTTGTGTAGACCAATAGCTGGAGGCAGACAGGACAGTCTAACAAGCATAAATGGGCATGTTGGTTCTGTCAGGAGAATGCAGATCAAGAAATGAGGCCATCACCAGCTTATAGCATGTTAAGTCTTCAAGGGTGATTTTTTTATGCTGCTGTATCATTCAGAATCTTTCATATCCTTTCAAAAGTCGTCTGCTTTGATGATTGATGATACACTTACCACAATTAGACAAGCCTGGAACAAGTGCGAAGAGTACTTGCAACAATCCAAGATGTAACTGTGATTGTGTGAAAGGGTTCTTTCAGAGGATGCAATGCAGTAACCACACAAGCTATGCCTAGAACATGCAGGTGTACACCAGTGAACCAGTTAATGAAAGTGATATTAAAAAGAAACACTAAATATTTTATTGTGAAAAGTCGCTTCTACATTTTCAATGTTGTATGGATTGGTTGCTTGTTTTATTGCTGGTTATTAGTGAATAGGCTTATGAATGAATGACTATATACATATGGGTGTGGCTGTGTAAATGTGACTGTTGCAACCAGACAGAATTTGTGATGTTTGCCAAGCAAAAGTTCATTTGAAAATAAATTTGAAGGTTTGATTGAGTGCATTCATGGTAGAAAAATCATTCTATTTGTCTGTTTTGATCAGGAACACAAAAGGTTCATGTATTTATGTGACTCCTCTGCAATTTTAAAAACAGGTATCTTGGCCAACGTTGACACCAGTATTTAATTCATCAATCATTCATCATATTTGCCTAATGGCCTAATAATGGAACAAATGTCCATCACTTAGTTTGTGGTCCCATATGACAACACATTGCCATTACTTCATAAAACATCTTATGCCATCTTATGTTTTAGTGGCATAAGCTGTTTATAAAAGTAAAAATAGACTGTTTACACAAACAACTAGTGGTGTGATTCCATTCAAATAAGACCTTTATGACATATGTCATCACTCCCAAACAGAAGTGTAAATCTGATGATAATCTAGGAATAAAGCTGGATAAAGGAGTAAAGCAACATTAAGTGTGTTCTAAAATTGGTTTCTAAATATATAATATGTGTCATCTGAGTGTGGGTGTGGACACCTAAAGTCAGAAGCTATTTCTATCACAAGTGGAAAGTTACAATCAATAAGAGAGTGTGAGAACATTACCACTTTTTCTACAGAACAATCAGTTAAAGTGAACAAAGAATATTTCTTACCTTTTGAAGGACAACAACGTGTGATCCAAGAAACAGAGCATGAAAGGAAAAAAAAATAGTCAGTGTCATAATCGTATACGATAATGTATCAGATATATCGCTGTTGTCCGAAGAAAACTTCGTATCTCCAAAATGGTAACTTTACAGGAGAAGGAAAAAAACCTACTTTACTTTTAATGTAAGTCAATGGAACCAGAATTTTTTCCAAGTCATTTTGGGCCGTTTCTTTTGGTCCATTCATCATGAAATATACACACAATGTACAGGGCAACAGGCATTTTCAAATTATGTTAAAAATGAAAAAATTGAGATATGAGGTTTTCTTCCGAGAACAGTGATATATATATGTGATAAGAACAAGTGTTCAAAACATGGCAGTTTAAAACAGCAAAACACTTGAAAGATAATTTCTCACAAACATCAAATGTTTGTAAGTGTTAAATATGTATTTTTGAACAGCTTAATCACAATTCCAAAATGGCATATTGTATGACTAATTGTATTGACATAAAGGGGTAACTGATAAATGGACCTCTTAATTAGGTCCCCAACCTACCTACATCATCATATACATCATTAAACATCTTATGCCATCTTGGGATTAGTGGAGTAAGCTGTTCATAAATATTCCAATATTGTCCTAAAAATGAGTTATTCAAAGCTTATGCATGTGCTATGAAGTCTCTATGTAGGTAACCTTCACAAAAAAAAGTGGTATCTTATTTTTGTTACATACAGTTAACATACCAGAAATATGACATTTTATTACTTACCATTTCTAATTGCAAATATAAATGTTTATCTATTATAGCTACTATGACAAAACATGCACTTGAAGACTAAATGGTCATTGCAGTGTAAAAACATCAAATATATTATTTCAAAAAGCTTTTAAATTATAAACAAGTTTCATATTTCAAATCAAAATCTAAGTTTTCTCATATGAACCTTTAATTGATATTTATTAGCCACTTTTACATTCTCAATAAACACAATATTTGATAATACATGTCAATCTATTATACTAATACTAATACTAGTTGACTTCTCACAAAACAGAACTGTCTCCCACACAAGTCAACTTTAGAATACAACACACACCAAAAGCAGGCCATCGAAGAAAGCAGTGAAATGTAACACAACAGAGTGCACAGCTTTGATTTAGTTACAACCCCACAATGAAGCATGAAGATCTCCATCATTACTATCATTCTTGCTTGAACAAAGGTTGCTTGACCAATCAAGAGTGGAAATATTTTAATAGTTACTCTTAACATCAGCAACTGAAACAGGTGTCAGAGCAAAAAGGAAACCATCTCATCAGGCCTTTGACAGTATCACATTCTAGCAGCTATCATAGAACGTTTCTCTACAAGTAGATAATCAGATTAGTTTTAGCCTACAGCAGAGCTTAGATTCATTTGTGTTAAGAATGTGAGTAGTCGCTAATGCACCTTAAATAGCATGCTGCTGTGTCTTTTAACCTTTATTGTTACCAAACGTATTAATCAGTTTATCATGTTAAATACAAGTGATATGTCACAACTCACATTGTAAACCTGGAACATCAGTGGAGTTAGCTCTCAGTTCAAAAGAAAATTAAAAATTTTGAACTGCCTCATCTGTTAAAAACACCATATCAAGACATAGAAGTCTATTTTTTCATCAAATGCATATTTACCATGCACCTTCCTCTATTTTCCATTGATCCTATAGTATAATCAAAATGATAATACTTGTAAAAACTAATATCAGTCCAATTTAAATGTCATTTTAGTCCATCACAATTCCATAATACTACATTTTTGAGTTTGTGTAAGACCACAATCAATAACAATGCAACAGTCTTCACAAGTACATTGTTCTAACATCTCATATTCCCCATTCATAGTTGATGGTGACTTTAACACAGTTTTCAATCTATAGATTAAGCAATGCTGGTACTACATGTAACTGGCAATGTACAGGAGAAACGATTTTGGTTTTGGTAATATTTGGCAATTAGCAAAGCAATTTTCATTCTACTTATTGATTCATCCTTCATACTCATACACGGATTCATACCAAACATCTCAAACACACAATTTCACATTGCCACTATCAGTAATTATGCCATATCGTTTATTATCTGTAATAAAATCAATTAACGGTGCTCTAACATAGCTCTACGCAAAGATCCTGAGTATCTAGTATGGGTATCCATACTAGAACTAAACTGTGAGAAATAGTGAAAGTGTTATAAAGAGAAAAAAAATGCACTCTGAATATAACTGTTAGATTTTGATACCCCCGGATGGAGGATTTCGGTTTTATATGGGACTTTGTGGTTAAGGTCTGTGTGGGTGGGCCGGTGCTTACTAACGACTCCGAATAGGTGCAAGAAGTGACTTTATTAAACAAATAGGACACAAACAAACCAACAAAACACTGAGCACAACGGAAAGAAAACGCAATAATATATACACAATATTTACAAGTAAATTTGATTGACAGCCACGAGGCTGGAACTCCACACACACACATCTAACACACGCTGACTCGAGCTACACAGGCGACTAGTACTGAGTACAAGTAAGCGATTTTTCTGAATGGCTGAGCCGAAGCTCTTGTACCCTAAACTCCGCTCCGGCCTACACCAAATCCCAACCCCAGGGTACATAACTAACACACACACACACACACACAACGCTTATTGTACAGTAACAACGTACACCTGGTTGCAACCCATGACAGCCTTACCGGTAAGTATATATAAATATGACACATAAAGATCATGATCACCCTAACAATGTTTCCTTTTCTTTACAGGACCCACATGAGAGTGGACCCCTCCTCCCTATGTCAGAGGATCCGTCCAAGTAGGATAAGAGGAGCCCCAGCTCTCACTGACATCCCCTAAAGGACGCACATCAAAGGAATACAGTAACATTTTTTATCGTTCAAATGTCTGTACTCGCGATGGTTATACTACAAGTCACTAAAATGTATCAGGGCTGGTGATGGGGTGTAAAGCTCACCACATCACAATAAAACAAAACACAATGGGGATAAACAATCCCACTGAACAAATAAAGAACAAAAATATTTTAAAATACTTAGAAAATGTAACTGTCTAAACTAAACACACAAATGAAAAACACAGATTGAGACAAGACCATGAGATTATTTAGATCCATTCTCTTTTCACAATTATTTCATGTATGGCTCCTACTTTTTTTGGCCTACCTACTAGTTGTTGGCCTTGGCAACATTTGGTGACTGACAAAGGAATTTTGATTCTACTTATTGATTCATCCCTCATAATCATTCATTATCTTCTACCAAACATCTCAGACACATAGTTTCACCGTATGATTATCTGTGATTTTGTCATCATGTTTATTATCTGTAACAAAAAAATCACCTGCATAAATCAGTCAATGGTGCTTTAAAATAGCTCTACACAAAAAATCCTGAGACTGACACTTACATTAAAAGAGAACTGGTATCCACACTCAAACTAAATTATTGTCAAAAAACTTCAAAAACATTACGATGAGACACATGGAACACAGTACTAAGAGAAAAAAAATGCACTCTGCATATAAGAATGATGATATAATGAATGAATAATAAATAATTTATAAAGGAAAAATTAACAATTATATGGGTAAAAACAATTCAACTGAACAAAAACATAAAAATATGTGCTAGAAAATACAAATTTCTAAACAAACAAACAAACAAAAAACCTCAAATATTATTACGGAGAATAAAACAATGTGAAAATGCTAAGTATGATAATGAACACTAAGTATGACAGTAAAATACTAAGTCAGGTGTTTTTAGCAAATCTGATAAAAGAAAATGAATTAAAAACATCATTTCAGTGATCAAGGATCCAGCAGGGAAAACCCTGCAGAAACAACACCTGAACTTTCTTTAGATTTTACTCACCAACTCAAGAACTAGTAGTATCAAATTCATATTTACCATGCACCTTCCTCTAATTTCCATTGATCTTATAGGTAAAATCAAAATGATAATACTTTTTAAATTAAAACAATGTATTTTCATGACTTAAATGCTCTCAGTTCATTATCACCAAAATGTATTGGAAAAACAGATCACTTCACTTTAGTTTTTCTGAACCAATGCTCATCAGCCCAACTATAAAAACTACACCATAGCAACTACTATGACAAAGGAATCAAAGATGAATGACTTCCCTCACCTCATCACTATCTGCATTATTCATACTTGAACCAAAGGGGTCATCCTGGCACATTTTCAGAGTACCACCAGCAGGAAGTGTGTTGTCATTGTAGGATCTGATGAACTTGAAGTCACTGGTGTGGGATCCTGTTGTCAGATATGCGTCATAATTGTAAGAACTGCGGAGAGTTCCAGCTCCCTCAACCTCTGCATAGTTGGGAGGGAGATACGCGCTGGGAATGGCCACTGCTCCATCAAACAACAGTCTGGGCTTCCTCCTGCGGCAAAACCTCACAGCCAGGATCAGGATGATGAAAGTCAGAAAGAAGGTGGACACGGACACAAGCGCGATGATCAAATATGAGGTCAGTTTGGAGCTGCTCTCCTCATAAGCCATGTCTTTAAGTTCTGGAACTTCAGCCAGGTTATCAGAAATAAGCAGATAGACAGAGCAGCTTGTAGATAGAGGGGGCTGTCCGTTATCTTTCACTGAGATAACAAGGTTCTGCTGCATGTTGTCAGATTCACTGATGTCCCGCTGCGCCCTGATCTCTCCACTATGGAGACCGATACTGAAAAGTCCCGGATCAGTGGACTTTACAATGTGATAGGACAGCCACGCGTTCTGGCCAGAGTCAGCATCCACAGCGATCACCTTGGAGACCAGAGAGCCGGACAGAGCAGCTTTAGGGACCATCTCAGTCATTAAAGACTTCCCCTCTGGAGCAGGGTATAATATCTGTGGAGAGTTATCATTCTCATCTGTTATGAACACACTCACAGTCGCGTTGCTGCTGAGGGGAGGAGAGCCATTGTCTCTGGCCACAACCTGGACTTTGAAGTTTCTGAACTGCTCATAGTCAAATGACCTCACAGCATGGATCACCCCCGTGTCTGCATTGATGGATAAAAATGAGGACACTGGAACACCGTTGACCTCACTGGACACCAGAGAATACAGCACTGTGCCGTTCTGCCTCCAGTCTGGGTCTCTCGCAGTAACACAGCAGATAGAGGTGCCTGGTTTGTTATTCTCAGCTACATAAGCACTATAAGATAGTTCAGCAAATACAGGTGGATTGTCATTGACATCTGACACAGATAAATGAATAGTCAAGGAGGAGGATAATGGTGGGGAGCCTCCATCAGTAGCAGTGATGGTTATGTTATAATCTGCTTCTTTTTCTCTATCTAGTATGCTTGTTGTTACCAAAGAAAAATAGTTTTTGATAGATGGGTTTAATTTAAAAGGAGCATTTTGCTGAATGGAGCAACGGATCCTTCTATTATCTCCTGAATCTTTATCCTGAACATTAATAATGGCCACCTCAGTGCCTACAACAGCATTCTCAGGTATGGGATCATTAAGTGATTTAAGAATAATTTTAGGTGCGTTGTCATTTACATCAGTGATATCTATGACAACCTTTGCAGTGGATGCTAATCCAGGTCCGTCCTTGGCCTGAACTCTCATTTCATAGTAGGTTTCCTCTTCATAATCAATGTTTCCAGCTACCTTAATCTCACCAGATATCTTGTCTATGGAAAACAGTTTTGCTGCTCTATCAGACATACGACTGAACTCATAAGTGACGTCACCGTTTGCTCCTTCATCAGCGTCAGTAGCGCTCACTGTAACTACACCTGCATCTAAAGGTGCATTTTCAGCCAGAGTAACTCTGTAAACGGACTGACTGAAAGCAGGAGCGTTGTCATTAGCATCAAGCACATCGATGTGGATGACTACAGTACCAGATTTCTGTGGGCTGCCACCGTCAGTCGCAGTGAGTATTACATTCATTTCCTTCTGCTGTTCTCGATCCAGCTCTTTCTCCAACACCAATTCAGCATATTTGCCCCTCTCCGCGTTTTCACGCACCGATAGAGCAAAATGCTCGTTTCTTTCAAGCGAATATCCTTGAACCGAGTTTTGTCCAGTATCCGAATCATGAGCTTCGTCCAAAGGAAAACGTTCCCCTTTATCGGCAGATTCCCTGATCTCAAACGTAATCCGATCATTAGGAAAGCGAGGGGCGTTGTCGTTTATATCCTCAATCTGCAGCGATACGCGATGCACTTCAAGCGGGTTTTCCAAGACGAGCTCGTAATTTAGAACGCAGGAGGTTCTAGATCCGCAGAGCTCCTCTCGGTCTATTGTCTCCGCCACGATCAAATTCCCACTGCCCAGATTAATGTCGCAGTATCGTCTCCCGCTGTCTTCTGTATCTATCCGAGCCTTCCGTGCAGATAACCGTTTAACGTCCAGCCCAAGATCCTTCGCTAGGTTTCCAATCACAAACTGACGCTTCGTTTCCTCTTGAACTGTGTAGCTCAAATCTGCACGAGCCACGGAAACGAAAGCGCAAATGCAAGCCAAGAGAAGCAATGTGGGAAAACAAAGTATCCCCCGTTCCATTCTCGCAACGTTCAGAAGAACAAATTCGTTACAGAAATGTCAGTCAATGCAACAAAATGCCGTCTTCAATAAACACAGCCTAATGCAGCGATGGTTCTGGGTGTCGGAGAGGAGGTAGAATTTCACATGAGATGGGTGGAGAGGTTTATTCTTCCTCGTTCTGTTGGTGAACAGCGACACTCTGAGCATTTTTAGTGTATTACAATGTAGGACCTCATGTATCATTATTCCATCTTTGTATGAAGTGATTACCAACTTCACAGCCTTGTCATTCTTCCAATACACTATGAAAAAAAAATAGTTCTCCAAGTCAGAGGTTCTAAATAGAACCATGGACACTCAAAGAGCGATTTGTATAACTAAATGGTTCTTTGCTTGGTGAAATAGTTCATTCAGCTAAATGGAGAACGTGTTGCCTGTGGTTCTATTTAGAACCTTTTTGAAAAAGGGTTCTATATAGCACCAAAAATGGTTTTGCTCTTGTTAAGATGTCAAGCTTGTAACAATAGCAGAACTCGTTTTTCAGTGCTGTATAGAACCATTTAGAGCACATTTTCCATGAACCTGAAGAACTGTTTCACCATGTAAAGAACAATTTAAGCATTAAATGGTCCTATGCCGAACTCATGGTTCTAAAGAGAACCATGGCCATTGTTAAAGAACCCATGAAGAACCTTCTTTTTAAGAGTGTATACAATTACTTAGACTTTTAAACTAATTGTGGAGGACTAAGTCAATGTTCAATGTTCAATCAATGGATGTTCACTGTTAATTGCAGCCGCTGTCCATGGTGCTGAACCGTCAGCAAAACAAGCTTTCAGATAATGTGAGATCATTTATCTCAGCACTGAATTATCACAGGCTCACTCACAGTCGCCAGAGTAGATCAAATGTGAATGTTAGTAGATGAAAGCTGTTCTTTGTCGAGTTGAAATTATTTTACGTTTCGTAATGTCAGCTGATGCAGCAACAGGTACAATTTTTTAATTCATTTTAACTGCAGGCTTAGCAGGACTGAAATGAAAAAATCATATATAGTGCTTGTCACAACTGCATAGAATTGGGCTTATTTAAACTGGAATTGAAGATTATATAAAGCAAAGGAGCACATAACATGAAACTTTTCTCCAATCTACTAACACATCAGAAGTTCATTTGACCAAGCAGATCAAATGGTACTCAGTGAAAGTTTAGTTTCACTGGAAAGTACATTACTTATCAATGTCAAAACAATTAGTTTTGTGAGGAACCAAGTGAAACATTCAAATACATTTTCATGGCAGAACTGAAATTTATATCTCACAAAGAGTGACAACTCACAGCTACAGAGAAAATACCGCTTTGCACCCCTGACTCCTGAATATATGATAATATATGGATATATATATATATATATATATATATATATATATATATATATATATATACATATATATATATAACAACAACAACAGAAACCACAAAAGTGTACAAACTGTGTAAAACCAAGTTTTATATAACTAGGGGAAATGCTTTCATGTCGAATTATTATTTTTTTTAAAATTAATATCAATGTTTTCAGTACAACTTATATTATCGGCATAACAATTTTAGTGATAAGTAGAATGTTTGAACTTTCTGATGAGTAGATCTACTCAACCTGACATTCATCTGAAAACATGATTTAGTAGAAGGAGTAACACTACAACAAAACTAAAACAAAGGCTTAAACTGGAGAATGTCATGAATGCTTACATTTTAACACTGACATAAAATAATGCAGAATCTCAATTACTTTTTCCTGACTTGCATTTTTATTTCATTTTATTTCTTTCAGATTTTTCAAAATCCTAAAACAAGCAAAAAACAGTAGACTTCCTAGACGTTGTGTGAGTCCAAGTTACTGTGAAATGCATCGTCTAAAATAGAATATCATAAATAAAATGCTGTTCACAATTTATTATGAAAAAAATACTAAGCAAACTCTGGAGAAGGAATCACATTTAACTAATCCTGCAAAACTAGTCACAAATACCTCATTAAATTAGACATATGAACCTACGACTGAGGTAAACTGGGCTTTTCTTAGCGCGACTGCATCTTCTGTATGGTTAAGTGAAATCATGCTCTCGTCTAAACTGCCAGTTTGACCTACTTTCCAAGTTTATATTATAATTACAATTGAACACTCTGAGGAAAAAGACACTTAAATGCCAAATGATGTAATTACAATTTGATCTACTTCAGGAATACTTGGTAAACAGAACCAGCCAAGATGAAAGTTTGAAGACAGGTGAAAAGATGTCACTGTCAACTCCTTGTCAATGCAATAACTCTGTTAGCCTATATTAATACAAGCTAGTCAAAGAATAAGAAGACACTAAAACCTAATAAAATAGGCACAACAAACAACTTTCAGTAACTGAAAAAATGGAAACCCCAAAACTTAGTTCATTATATTGTTATGGAGCGACATAACACAATATTAACTATAATAGGGGATAAACAGAGCCCTGCTTACCTCATCTCTATCTCCGTTATCTTTAAGCATTATCTCACTTGGCCCAAAAGGGTCATTTTGGCTCAGTTTCAGAGTACCACCAGCAGGAAGTGTGTTATCATTGTAGGATCTGATGAACTTGAAGTCACTGGTGTGGGATCCTGTTGTCAGATACGCGTCATAATTGTAAGAACTACGGAGAGTTCCAGCTCCCTCAACCTCTGCATAGTTGGGAGGGAGGTACGCGCTGGGAATGGCCACTGCTCCATCAAACAACAGTCTGGGCTTCCTCCTGCGGCAAAACCTCAAGGCCAGGATCAGGATAATGAAAGTCAGAAAGAAGGTGGACACGGACACAAGCGCGATGATCAAATATGAGGTCAGTTTGGAGCTGCTCTCCTCATAAGTCATGTCTTTCAGTTCTGGAACTTCAGCCAGGTTATCAGAAATAAGCAGATAGACAGAGCAGCTTGTAGAGAGAGGGGGCTGTCCGTTATCTTTCACTGAGATAACAAGGTTCTGCTGCATGTTGTCAGATTCACTGATGTCCCGCTGAGCCCTGATCTCTCCACTATGGAGACCGATGCTGAAAAGTCCCGGATCAGTGGACTTTACAATGTGATAGGACAGCCACGCGTTCTGTCCAGAGTCAGCATCCACAGCGATCACCTTGGAGACCAGAGAGCCGGACAGAGCAGCTTTAGGGACCATCTCAGTCATTAAAGACTTCCCCTCTGGAGCAGGGTATAATATCTGTGGAGAGTTATCATTCTCATCTGTTATGAACACACTCACAGTCGCGTTGCTGCTGAGGGGAGGAGAGCCATTGTCTCTGGCCACAACCTGGACTTTGAAGTTTCTGAACTGCTCATAGTCAAATGACCTCACAGCATGGATCACCCCCGTGTCGGCATTTATGGATAAAAATGAGGATACTGGAACACCGTTGACCTCACTGGACACCAGAGAATACAGCACTGTGCCGTTCTGCCTCCAGTCTGGGTCTCTGGCAGTAACACAGCAGATAGAGGTGCCTGGTTTGTTATTCTCAGCTACATAAGCACTATAAGATGGTTCATCAAATACAGGTGGATTGTCATTGACATCTGACACAGATAAATGAATAGCCAAGGAGGAGGATAATGGTGGGGAGCCTCCATCAGTAGCAGTGATGGTTATGTTATAATCTGCTTCTTTTTCTCTATCTAGTACGCTTGTTGTTACCAAAGAAAAATAGTTTTTGATAGATGGGTTTAATTTAAACGGAGCATTTTGCTGAATGGAGCAACGAATCCTTCTATTATCTCCTGAATCTTTATCCTGAACATTAATAATGGCCACCTCAGTGCCTACAACAGCGTTCTCAGCTATGGGATCATTAAGTGATTTAAGAATAATTTTAGGTGCGTTGTCATTTACATCAGTGATATCTATGACAACTTTTGCAGTGGATGCTAATCCAGGTCCGTCCTTGGCCTGAACTCTCATTTCATAGTAGGTTTCCTCTTCATAATCAATGTTTCCAGCTACCTTAATCTCACCAGATATCTTGTCTATGGAAAACAGTTTTGCTGCTCTATCAGATATACGACTGAACTCATAAGTGACGTCACCGTTTGCTCCTTCATCAGCGTCAGTAGCGCTCACTGTAACTACACCTGCATCTAAAGGTGCATTTTCAGCCAGAGTAACTCTGTAAACGGACTGACTGAAAGCAGGAGCGTTGTCATTAGCATCAAGCACATCGATGTGGATGACTACAGTACCAGATTTCTGTGGGCTGCCACCGTCAGTCGCAGTGAGTATTACATTCATTTCCTTCTGCTGTTCTCGATCCAGCTCTTTCTCCAACACCAATTCAGCATATTTGCCCCTCTCCGCGTTTTCACGCACTGATAGAGCAAAATGCTCGTTTCTTTCAAGCGAATATCCTTGAACCGAGTTTTGTCCAATATCCGAATCATGAGCTTCGTCTAAGGGAAAGCGTTGCCCTTTAATAGCAGATTCCCTGATCTCAAACGTAATCCGATCATTAGGAAAGCGAGGGGCGTTGTCGTTTATATCCTCAATCTGCAGCGATACGCGATGCACTTCAAGCGGGTTTTCCAAGACGAGCTCGTAATTTAGAACGCAGGAGGTTCTAGATCCGCAGAGCTCCTCTCGGTCTATTGTCTCCGCCACGATCAAATTCCCACTGCCCAGATTAATGTCGCAGTATCGTCTCGCGCTGTCTTCTGTATCTATCCGAGCCTTCCGTGCAGATAACCGTTTAACGTCCAGCCCAAGATCCTTTGCTATGTTTCCAATCACAAACTGACGCTTCGTTTCCTCTTGAATTGTGTAGCTCAAATCTGCACGAGCCACGGAAACGAAAGCGCAAATGCAAGCCAAGAGAAGCAGTGTGGGAAAACAATATATCCCCCGTTCCATTCTCGCAACGTTCAGAAGAACTAATTCGTTACAGAAATGTCAGCCAATGCAACAAAATGCCGTCTTCAATAAACACAGCCTAATGCAGCGATGGTTCTGGGTGTCGGAGAGGAGGTAGAATTTCACATGAGATGGGTGGAGAGGTTTATTCTTCCTCGTTCTGTTGGTGAACAGCGACACTCTGAGCATTTTTAGTGTATTACAATGTAGGACCTCATGTATCATTATTCCATTTTTGTATGAAGTGATTACCAACTTCACAGCCTTGTCATTCTTCGAATACACTATGAAAAAAAAATAGTTCTCCAAGTCAGAGGTTCTAAATAGAACCATGGAC